TAGAAGGATCAGAATCCACGTAGAAACGTATCCCTACGCCGCTGCACGTGTACCAATCCCTGTATATAAAGTTGGGCGAAGTAAAAGTAGAGTTTGCAGCTGTGGTAAAACACCGTTGGGGGAAACACGTATAGGCTCGGCTGGTTAGTTAACGAGGATTACGTTTACAGAGCCGCGTAAGGTCTTGCCCATCCTGAGGACCGACGAACCCGTCTGCCCCGAGGGGAAATTGTCGTGCGGTAACGGCGAGTGCGTAGACAAGGAGCTCTTCTGCAACGGTAAACCGGACTGCAAGGACGAATCCGACGAGAATGCTTGCAGTAAGTCGTGATCGTATTTTGTAACAAAACTGAATCGGTTAATCCTTTCGTTCCGAGGAATGTCTACTGGCTGACTCAAAATAGGTGTACAGTTTCGGATGTAACGTTTCTCGTTTCTTACCCATTGTCTCTAATCGCAGCCGTGGAAACGGATCCCAATCGAGCACCGGACTGCGACCCAACCCAGTGTGTCTTACCTGATTGCTACTGTTCAGCCGACGGTACCAGGATACCAGGCAACATAGAGCCATCCCAGGTGCCCCAGATGATCACCATCACTTTCAACGGTGCTGTAAACGTGGACAACATCGACCTGTACGAAGAGATCTTCAACGGTCAGCGTCAGAATCCCAACAGCTGTCAAATCAGGGGTACCTTCTTCGTCTCCCACAAGTACACCAACTACTCGGCTGTCCAGGACCTGCACAGAAGAGGACACGAGATAGCTGTGTTCTCACTGACCCACAAAGACGATCCTCAATACTGGACCCAGGGTACCTACGACGATTGGTTGGCTGAGATGGCTGGTGCTAGACTGATCATCGAACGTTTCGCCAACATCACCGACGGTTCCATCATCGGAATGAGAGCTCCTTACCTTCGCGTCGGTGGTAACAAGCAGTTCGAGATGATGGCCGACCAATTCTTCGTCTACGACGCCTCCATCACCGCGTCCCTTGGACGTGTACCCATCTGGCCGTACACTCTCTACTTCAGGATGCCGCACAAGTGCAACGGAAACGGTGGAAACTGTCCGTCCAGGTCTCACCCGGTCTGGGAAATGGTTATGAACGAATTGGACAGAAGGGACGACCCGACCTTCGATGAATCTTTACCTGGTTGTCACATGGTCGACTCCTGTTCCAACATACAGACCGGTGAACAGTTCGCCAGATTGCTGAGACATAATTTCAACAGGCACTTCAACAGCAACAGAGCCCCGTTGGGTCTGCATTTCCATGCTTCCTGGTTGAAGAGCAAGAAGGAGTACAGGGAGGAGCTGATCAAGTTTATCGAGGAGATGCTTGCCAGAAGTGACGTTTATTTCGTTACCATGGTCCAGGTGAGTGATTTGCGAGAAATTTTGCTGCAACAAATTAATGTTCTATTTCAGTAAGTTTAAAAAATTGTTGATATTGTAGCACTTCGATGCTTTTCGTTCTTATCTGAAGAAAAAAGAATTAATTTTTTAGGTTTCTGATTCATAAACCACCGCCTTATTTCAATTTATCTCTCGTTTTCAATCTCGCTGCATCACGACGTTTCTCGTTCGCGTTCCATCAAGCGTCAGACTCTTTTTTATTTCCTGTCGCGTCGATTCATTTTTCGTTTTCAATTTAACTGCACGATACCAAGCAATTTTCTCTGTGTATTAGTAAGCTTTCTCGATTAGCTCGTGATTCAACAGAAATTGCTCGCCCTTTAATACTTCTTCAACCTTGAAAAATGAATACAATAAATTATTTAGAATTTTCTTTAATATTTCCCTTTCGACTGTTCGATTATTCCGAATTCGAGGCGGCGATCAATGTCTGACCAGACGCGTTCTTGTTCTACTTACAGGTGATTAAGTGGATGCAGACGCCGACGGAATTGTCAGCCCTCAGAGATTTCCAGGACTGGAAAGAGACTTGCGACGAGAAGGGACAACCCTATTGTTCCCTTCCCAACGCATGTCCCTTGACCACCAGAGAACTTCCCGGTGAAACCCTTCGTCTGTTCACCTGCATGGAGTGCCCGAATTATTACCCGTGGTTGTTAGACCCAACCGGTGACGGTTTCACCGCGAACAAGAAATGAGCGATCCATCAGAGAAATCTGTCGATCGAAAGGCGCGTGTCTTCAAGGAAACGATCCTGGTGATCGAGATGCGATTTGCTTGAAGAGAACGCGCCCAAATGTCGCGTCTGAATGAACGTTTCGCGAACAAAAAACAATAAACACTTTCCAGACTGACTCGAATCTTGATAAGCCTGTTCAAAATTGAAGTAACATTAGAGATTGAAAATTAATATTTCGAATTTATACATAAATAATTTGAACATCAATGATCAGTGACACGTTCACTGTGGGGAGAAAAATTTGTTTATAAAAATAAAAAATATTTTAATATTCATATATGAATAATATATGTTCGTTAAAAGAAATACTCAAATATTGATAAGTCTGTTAATTAATTAAGAACATTAAGGATCGATAGATTGTGTAATTAAAAATGGTGACCTCCTCAATGAACGTTTCTACGTTTCATATTGTACAATGTTGAATATTCACGAATAAGCTGTTGCAGAATTGGAAAGAAAAACATTTGTGATACTATCGAGAATGAATTACTGCGAGTAGAGAATAGAATGTATAATATCTGAAGGAATGTTTGTCGCAGAAGAATGTTAACGACGTCGCAGGATTCTGTTCGCGAAACGTTTTCTACGAGCGAATATCGGTCCTCCACGGTGAAAGGGGGACGAGTCCTTTACAAATTGATTCAACTTGTACATAAACACCGTGTCCTTGCCCTGCTGATCCTTATCCCTTTCTTCTGCGGCTCGTATGCAGATATCCTGAAGAAGGATCGATCGATTGCGTCCCTTCGACGATCGCCGTTCACAAACACACACCTTATGATTTATGTTAGCGCATAAGAGACGCGTGAGAGTAATTAAGAATAATGTTTTTTTTTAGAAAGTCCTTATTAAGGTGTTTCGCAATAAACGTTTTACGAAAAATTAATAAAGGTCGTCAGTTTTCATTCATCCTTTCCTTGAAACTTTAATTACACAATTATTCAGAATGTGACTGTTCCATTTTTCGACTTAAACTTTTCCCTTGTTACCTTACAAAATTAATACAATATTTATGATAATTAAAATTTTATGGTAACAATCACCATGATAAGCTTGAAAGCAGCATTTATTAATCGATAAAATATTAAATTTAATTGCTTTGTATTCTTTGTCATATCTTCAAAGTGAGAGAAACTAAGAAATGTCATATGTTTTGTAACCATATAATATTCTCTTTTTCTGCCCTTTGCACTTTCAAGCTGTCAACGCAATCAGAAAAGGAAAAAAAAAAAGAAAAGGAGGAGCGAAGAACTTTCAAAAACGTGTACAAGTAAATTTCGAAAACTTTCGAACGAAGGAACGTGTTAATCCTGTGAACAGGATTCATTATTCAGGTGTTGTTACTTCGCAGCCTTGAAAGTCAACGATAGGCGCCAGCCTTAAGGTCGTAAAATGTCATTGCTGATTCGTTTCCTTACTAATTTGTAGCCTGGAGGCTCCTTTCGATTTCGGACGACATTCCTTTTCAATCGTGAGTCCTAGCTCATCTGTCGACAAAATTCCTTGCACTTTCTTCCAGTCCGGTAGACTTCAAGGACGAGACTTCAAATGTTATTTTTCAAAATATACCTAATATAAGAATTATTTCTTGAACATAAAACGTCGGAATGAATAATTAATCTCAGAGTGGACGCGCCGATGAGATTAATCATCTATGCTAAAAAATGAATCAGGTTTGTCTATATTTAATATGGTAACCAATCGTTTTAGTCAAGTTTGGTGTTCCTTCCGGTTTTCATTACATTACATTATGTAGGGAAGTATTTATTAAATAAGTGTTAACAATATGAATGGGCGCTTTGAAAACGGAACTAACACCGCCATCTTACTGAATGTGATAAAGGTATGTCACCATTTTGTCACAGAACTTGTCTGTGCTGCCATCTCGCTGGGCGTCCCTCTAGGGAAAATGGCAGTCCAAACCAGCGGAGGGGAAGGTGTCCTCACAAATGACAATGAGTAAGACACTCGAACCAGTTGGTATTATACCTAATTCACAAGAGACGCTTTTGTGTTCAAGAAAAGAACAAAATTTTCTCAAATAAACAGTTAGTCGCTAAAGCAAGTCGGAAATGAATAATGAGCTTACACCACCATTTTCCCTAGAGACACCGAGGGTGCTGGAGGGTGAACAATACTATTACCGCCATCTTATGCTAATATGTTAAAATATTGTACAATAATAATACAAAAAATTTTATTTTCTAAATTATTTTTAATTCGCTATACATACTATATAATACTATATCGCTATCTCTTCTAGGAAAGCTTACTCAGCTCAATTCGGTACAGGAGGAATAAAATCGGTACAATTAAAATGATGTAAATTTAATGAAAACGCCGAAGATTACATTGAAGGTATATACAAAATGAGCTTAATTTAATCGATAGTGATTAATGAAATCATACGATAATGAATAGCCAAATGTTCCCGCACATACTATGTATATGTACGCAATGTAATGTTACCATGGTTTGATACATAACACAAATTCCTGTAACGATACTTCTTCTGTTTGGAAAGAAGTACCGAATGTTAAGATTACCATGTAACAATTTCGTTGCGTTACATACGATTAGAATATTGTACTAACCAATGTAAAATATTTCAATAAATCAGAAAATTCTCGTTCTCCTGACGGTGATATATCAAAGAGCATACATGATTTTAATAATAAAAAAAGAGGCTTAATAACTGTTATCTTAATTGTATGTATATTCCTAGAAAAATATTTCTATGATGTTTACGTATCAATAATAGCAAATATTAACAATTAACAATTCTGAAATGTATTTTCCAGCTGAATATAAAATAAATCATTCTTTCCCATTTCTGTTTTTTTTTGCAAATTTTCTTCAATTTTTCTCACGCTTACAGTAGTAATTCTTACATAAATTATTAATACGGCTGTCCAATACAGTTCAGTTGTTTACAAATAGAATAAACGGAACATTTGAAGTGGATCGATGAACATTAATATAATTATAAAATTACAAACGATACATCGTACGATCTATGAAAGGAAAAAGAAAAAAAGGCTACCAGCCTTGGGAAGCCTGCTCGATGGCAGTGTACAATTAAAATATTGTAAACATTTAAGAAACTTCTACCGGGATTAAGGAAGCGAAAATTACAGGAAGAAATTACGATTATACAGAGAAACAAATAATTATAGAAATCGCGTTTCCTTTCCATTATTGAAAATAATTTAGCTAATCTTTCAACATATAACATATATATGTGTGTGTATATATATATTATACGATAAGCCTCTAACATTAAAAGTGTATATAGATAATATTAATATTTATAGTTTCTTTACTTTAACAATTCTGAGATATTAATCCCGATTTTCGCGAATACCACCGCCATATAAATACGATTTCTTTCAGTATCAAAGCTCAATCGTTGAAAAAAAAAAGAAAAGATGAAATAATAGAATGAAAATAACACTGCTATGTGAATTTAGACAAAAATAAGTCTTTCTTATACCTTAATGTACTAAAAATCGCGTTACGATGAACAAATACAACCTGTAATAGATACCATAAGTCGTATTAGAGAAGCGAATTTCCCGATTCGTCCGAAATAGTTATAATACAATCACTTTTCTATCCGTGTTTGAGAAGTGTAAAATATATAAATTTGCTATCTTTATCTTGTCATATTTATCACCGTGTAGAGCTAACCAACGTCTAACCGTTGCATCTTTTTTTCTTTCTTCTCATTTCCATCATTATTATTATCGTTAAGGTATATTATAAATATTTTATATACGGAGAAGAAATGTTACACTATATACAAAAATGTGTGATCTCGAAATTTGCCTATAATGGAAAAGTTAAATACGCAACTTCCCATTTTTTCCCCTAACAGTCTCAGAGTTTACATTTCATTTCTGTGCTTCTATTATCCTGAATATGAACTAATGCAATCGTTTGAATTTCAATTGATTAGCGAAGCCGCCTAAGTGTCATCTGTAGGATTTGTCCCACACATATTTTTTTCGCGTAACACCAAAAAAAAAAGACAATAGTTCCAAAAATAAAAGTATCATGGACCAAAGTACCATGTGATTGTTGCAATTCAAATTTCTCGATATTTTTTCTTCTTCATTTATTATTGTAGCTTATAAAGGACGTATGTTATGTTATCATACCATAAAAAATGCTGCACCTATGTTATAGATCGTTTAAATATCGTAATTCAATGTACAAGATTATTTAACCAGCCCCTTAGAAATGTGGCGTTCAATATGTATCATATGTACTGTACATTTTGAGATTGGTAAATGTCTATCGTACATCTCGACAGCACATAATAAGTACGAAAATCAAGGTGTTTTCTCCATACGATTATTCTACTGCCCATGAATATTTGATCTAAACTTTTTTTCCCCGCCATTGTGAAAAAAAAAAACGGTAATAAAAAATTCGATTAAACATTGCGTGTAAACATGTCACACTAAACATAATCCACATTTGTACTTGTCAAATCATACGCGAGGAGTATTTATAAATGCTCATTGAATATAACTATTTTTTTTTTATATACGTCCAATGATACTGAATATATTAATAAGAGAATATATGCTATGTATGTCATGTGACTCGACTTAAGCTTAATTAAATATGAAACAGTATTAATCATAGTGAAGATTTTACTGTCGATGTAACTTTCGTTTAACAGAAATATTTGTATCCTCTTTCACTTAGTATGAAATTATGAAATATAAAACTCCGACTAAGAAACGAATACAAATTATACGCAATTAGTGACTAAAAATATTACACGATCACGTATTATCACCGTACAGTTTCATTACAGTACAATTAGTTAAAGACTAAACTTCAAATTGGTACCTTAAGAAAATGATACTTCTTCTGGAACTATGCTCTCCAACGGTACAGGTTCCGCAAATCCACGGGCAACCAGTTCATCGGCAAGAGATATCACCTATGAACAGATAAACAGAATAGGAAATTACAGAAAATAATTGTACAAATACACTTGATCTTGACCTAAAGAAAAAATGTTTACTTACTCCATGTTTCTGAATATTAAGATATAAATTAACGTATGTACTATTATTAATGTATCCTGCTATTTGAGCTTGACCGACAATTCCGCTACACATCTGAAGAACTACATTGTACGCTTCTTGATCCCACTCACCTGATATTCATACAATGATACGTTCAAACAAATTGACAAAAACACGTGAAAATTTAATGGAACGTACTTACCGTTCCGCGGTTGAACGTTCGCTAAAAATATTTCAATTGCTTGAAACGGCAATGTAAGGTAATCTGATCGAATTTTTTTCATCTCAGAACTACTGAAATACCAATATCCACCGTGATCGACAAGCCTTACTAGATGCCGTTCGCCATTAGGATCTGGTCGTTCAAGATATACCCTCACCCACTTATTATACCATTTCGTAACAAAAATCATACCCCCTGTAAATTGCAATACATCAAATTAATAATACCAATAATTTTCTAATGAATGTCTCGGTACTTTAGTTGTAGTACAGTTAAAATAAATAGGCCGATATAAACGTACTACTAAGCTCGTCTGGAGCTGAAGGTGATTCTATGGTGTCGTATAATCGTGTCATGTTTTCGTCTAAAATCCGCAAGGATGGGTACGTAGGGTGAGTAGGAAGCTGTACGAAGAAACGATTTGGTTTGACTATGTGACAAACGACGACATCGTTGTTCATCCCTTCCACTAAAGACAATTGTATTAACTCAGCGACCCATGGAATTTCTTCTGGTATTTTTAATGGCGAAATCTGTTCAAGGGTTACGTGAGGATACTTTTTCTCAGGGAACTGTTTTCGTATCATATCTAGGGCAATGTTGATTCCTTCTGTGGAACCTTCTATGGCACAAACTTTCTGATTTCTCGATGTAGGATGACGTTTAACGACTATATACACTTCAGCTTTAACTCGAATACTCTGTAAGAAGCTTCCATGACGACCAATTAGCCTTCCTACTAAATTCTGTGGTATACTAAACTCATATAACACCGGGTTTGCAGTATCCTTTGGATGACCGTTGATACTTCCGCCTAGAATAAATGGTACACGTAAAATATCTGAAACTTGTTTCTGTTGACAATGTTACCTTTTCCGCTGTCTGTGCTTCCTTCGCTTCGAGCTTCATCGGTAACGCTACCTTCTAAAACAGCGGAAACTGGACTATGATTAGCGGAGTCTCTTTCGGACAGTGCTTGTGCCGGAGTCTTAGCAGTTTCTTTTAACGGAGTGGAAACAGATAATTCTTTGCTTGGAAGGTAATTGCATTCGTTATTTGCATCATTTTTCTCGGTTTTATCGTCGAGCTCTGTAATATTCTCGCAGGGTAACTTTTGTTCCTCCTCTTCGACAACATTATCGAATATTTTTAATACTTTACTACTGGTATCAGTGATGTTCTCCAAAGAGGATGAACTTCTGCTTCTAACAACCATTTCGAAATTGCTCATTTTCGGATTACTGCCCAGCTGTATTTCCATTTCACTTGTTGATGTGTCTAGATAACTGTACCATGCTTGATCATCTTTACAAGAGACTCTAGAATGCGCGGAAACAGACTGCGAACAAGTCTTCCTCATAGGTATATCTAAACTTTCGCTTCGTTTTCTAGGACTACAAACGATTTCCTCTATCAATTGATTGGAAGAATTCAACGAGGACGTTTCGTCAAATTGTATGCCCGAATCGTAAAAATTCGAGTTAGACTTTGACGAGGCAACTTCTTTTTTGCGATTCGCAAAATTTTTGTCGCTATTATCTGGAGTGTTAATTCCACCTGGATCAGTTCTGTCTACTCGACGACGTCTGTACCAGAGGAGACCGATAATGAGCGCGAAAGCAGGAAAGCTCCACTTCACGACTTGGATATGAGTGGCTGACATGTTTCAAATCCACCGTAGCTGTTGTTAAACACCTTTTCCTTCTGAAACATCAAACAATTACCTGAAATTAGAAAAAATTTCAATTGACAAATATTTATTCAGTGGGATGTTTCACGGGTAAATTGGAAATAACTGTACACCCATCGGCGATTTATAGGAACTGGATGAAATTTAATTCCTCTTCGAACTTGTCTTACTCGGTTTCCTTTGCTTAATTACCGTTTCGCAAGCGTAACTTCCGGCCACCATGGGTACTCGCTCGAATAACTTACTTACGGGAAAACACAATGTATACAAATAAATATTTTTTCTCCTAAACGTGGAAGTTAAAAATTGATCAAATACAATATACCATTGATCAAAATTTAAATAAATAAATTAAAAGGGTAAACATTTATTTCGCTGTATACAAAAAATGATAATAAATAAAATTGATTTAATTCGAAGCAAAATAGTTGGAATATAGGTAAATTGTTCGTATATTTCGTTCCAAACACCAGCCTGTGTTGATGGTTTGATTTCAAGTAACGGTTTACACGTTCGATATTTATCGATCATAATTTTCGCCGCACCTTTAGATAATTTTCGCTCAAAGTCACCGAGTCCGCGTCGTGTTTCGAGTTATACAGAGTAATCCAAAATACCTGGCATCAATCTTAAAAATTAAGAAAGAAATTCGTTGAATCGTATGAAAATCTACTTAACAATGATACCACGTATATCGAGGAACACCCTGTATAACACATTTGTCCCGCATGGTACACGCTCGTAGTTTCCATCTGTGATATCTAAAGTTAAGAGAAAGCGTTCCATTTCATCTGAAAATCGGGCACGACGGTGTCGAATCGACTGAAGGAACACCTTTCGAATAGAAAATCTCGGAATTCACAGAAGGCATAACTTAATGAATCGTTTTAAACAAGTAAAAATGCACGCATATATAACGACACCAGTTATCCATATCCGTTCTCCAAAATTGTTTGAACGAAACAATTATTCACCGATTAAACAGAAAAACTTTGCTATCGATAAGATTATCGAATGAAATTATTCGCGACGGTTGTTACATCCACTTTCACAGGATACCACAATAGAAACAGACTAACAACGAAGGTCGAACCATACGCGATGGTTTTTGTGCTCGCACGGGGACTCACCGATGTTACGTCCATGCTTATTCCCATCTGTGACCGTTCGACAAATCGATGAACTTGGTTCAGTTGTTCGTAAAAAGCCGACGAACGGGCGGGAATGGAAACCGATGAAAATCGAGAGTTCGAAGGACTTTTGAAGTAATTAACGCAGGCAAATTAAAGGTACTTTCTGTTAATACGACCAACACGGTACTGCGGTTTGCGGAACGAGCGCGGCTTCCAGCACGTGGTAACTTCAGGGACCAGTTCGACTGGAAATGCTCACGATTGCGCAGACGCGATTACATTTAAGCATCATTCACACGCTGATAACAATGATTACAATCGAATTCAATTTTCTTCCCTCTATTCTGGAAACATTAGAATAAAATTATGTATATAACGGAAGAACGTTGCGTTTGGTTTGCTGGGAAATATTTTAACGCCTATTAAACGTACACGCAAGAGAGGAACTTAATTCAGAAAAACAGTCTGTAATTGCGGAACTCGTTTAAATTGCCGGTGAGCCTTGCGCTACTGATTCCTGAATGAAATCAACGTTTGTGCTCAATTAATAATTAACTAGCCTTCTGACTAGTTGCATTAAAAACACCGGATTGAAAGATAATCAAATTTGAACGATTAAATAATACTTATACCTTCTGTCACGTCGAAGATTCTATCATACTGATTGCCACAATTAGCGATACAATTATCTGAACAAGTGGTCCGGCTAATTATATCCTACATATTATTCGTTTGCGATAACGATTGAAAGGTGAAGTTTTACAATTACAGGCAACATTCTAAAAGTCAATTTAACGCGTTTATTGTGAAGTCTGCATCGAAAGTAAAAGGATTAAAATTGACGATCAGAAGGAAGAGATTACGTAACGGCGCATAAAATTATAGGTTTCCATCGGACGGGTGTTGGGCGTAGGATACAATTTCAAGCAGTCACACGCGAACTAGTAGCTTGCTGGAATTTGCGTTGTCCATGTTATGCTGCAAAAATGTGCCGATTTCCTAATCGCAAAAATTTCTCCTCTTTCAAATCAAGCGAAGGAATATAAATGCAGCTATTTTTTTTTTATTATGAGGTACGCGTAACATTTTTATTTTACAAAAATAGAGAGCAGCGTTAACTAAAAATAGATATACGAATGCAAGAGGTGGCGAGATGTATTATGTATTAATTATGCGAACTGGTTAATCTGTTACGTCATATCGAGCACTCGATCGGCATTAATTTGTATAATGATCGAGATGTATAGTAAACGAGTACTTTACTATGTTCTACATTCATTCATTAGTTCTCATATCGAATGTACATTTATCCATACGCACCTTATCAAACTGAACGGTTTTTTAAACACAAAAATGATAATTTACGATACGATTGATACGACCTTAATCATGCTATCTTGAATTCTTAATCATCGCCGATCTTTTAAGACGAACGTTGTTTCGTAAGAATTAATCGACAGTGACCTTTTCGATGTTACATGAATATGATAAAAAATAAATGTGTTTTTACCTATTATACAATGCATCATTCAATACTGCATAATGTTTCATTGATGTATCGCTGACGGATATAAACCTGTTAATAAAATACAAGAATGTCCACTGACTGATGTCTTTATTTATCGCAAGACGTTACAATTTTTCAAGAAAATCTATGCTAGGCACCTTCGCTAGGTGGGAAGAATCACGACTATCTGAAATTTAAGGTTCCTCTCGGTTCGTTGAACAATTATTTAAACGTTACTAAACAGTACTAATAAGAGGGTGAACGAACGCAAAAAACCGTCAATTACCATCGAACAAATTTCCATCGTAAGGGCGAGCGACTTCGATTCAACGGCCTCTTAATCTCATTGGACAGAACGTTAGGGAGTAGGAAAGGAGATCGGCCAAGATGAGGCAAGAACACGATTTCAGTTCTTACCAGTGCAACCAGAAAGGGAGAAGGGATGCCGTTGAAAGAAAGAGAAAAAAGAAATTAAATTAAAATGAAACCGGTAACTGTTGTTCGACGAGGATCGGATCGTCGATGTAGTCGCTCGAGGAACTGGGTTACTTACGGATTTACCTTCTGGTGGGATACAATTTTTCCAAGAAACCGTTATCGTGTTGTCACCAATGTAGTTTCGTTCCAGTAACTATAACTGGACAATTCGCCTACATAGATAGACAATATTATCCTTTCCGGTGACACTTGTCGAACCGGAAATCCACGATATGCTAAACGCGCTACAAGTCTACTTAGCGATCTTGCTTAATACCGTTCAATGGCTTCGGGCTATTCGAGTCCCAGTTATTAATCTTTTAATTCAAGATACTATCTCGAATAGCCCGGATGCGAGGACGTTTGTATCACAGAAACTGTATCTAGGTCTCTTGTCTCTTCTCCGTAATACAGTGAACCGTGAGTTTATGATTTCAAATGATAGCTTTTCGCGGGTAAAACGCATTTAGGAAAACGGGCCACGTAGTTAATCGGTTGATAGAGGGAGACACGCGTTTAACTTAGCAGATCGTTACGCGACGATATCGTGGATGTTCAAGAAACGGAGGTGACCGAGGTTCAACGTGCTCTTGGAATGTCCAACCTGCACGCGAAGGAACGATGAAGTAACCGAATCCAGGTAAGATTATCAAGGAAGAAAGGGAATAAGACGAGGAAGAGGAACACGTAAGCAGTAAAGCTGCTACGAAAAAGGACGCAAAAGAAGGCTTTCGTGCAAGCTTATGCAGCGCCATCTGTGGGAAGTGAGGGAACCAGTAAACTGGCGTTAAAATAGTACGCAAACTGACAGCTCGTCAACGGGGTAGCGTCTAATCTTTATCAGTGAAGTAAATAATTATATTGATAACACTCGTACTTGAAACGAAGCCATGAAGAGTGAAGAGGCTAAAGATCATGGAGATTTGAATGTGTACGAGTGAGATATGAAACTTCACAAGCACTATGTTGCTATAAAAGCACTAGTTGTTACCGATAAACGATAGATAAAAAAATGTTGACGAGATAATCGGAGTGTAATTACTATGAGCGGTAATGGATAAAACAGTCGCTAAAAATTACATTCATCGAGATAAACTTGTTGCACCTTTAGTGTTATTTCATTATTCTTTAATGCTCAATGATTAATAAAGAACAAATCAACGATACTTCTTATCTTCATAAATTCGAGTGGTTTGTAAGGTGCTGATATTGAATCAACATTGTGTTTGTAATCTTGACAGTGTCCTGATTTATCGAAGGCAAATCACGGGAAGTCGTACAATTCAACTTTGTCGATTATATGTACATGTGACCTTGCATACGAATAGGCATGTTTATTATTTACAAATCATAGACGCGAATCGCTAGAAATATTTCCAACTATTTGAACAACGTACGAATAGCTCTCGAAGATGTAATTTCAAATCGCAAGGTTACGCTTTATTCGACGAAATTATTTTAATAATTTTCATACCAATCGTACCTTTAATTAAAGCCTCCATTTTCATAAATCGTACTGTCCTAATTTACTCGGCACATTTCACCATTATTTTTGATAATTACCGGACAAACAAGATAAAAACAAAGTCGAACGGACGTAATTTCTGATGGCACTGTAATTATCAATTGGCGGCAAACTATGGCCCGATGGGAAAAAAATGTATGTTTGTATCAGTCTACAAATATTTTGGTCGCGTATTCACTTGGTAGGAAATTAGTTTCATTTTCATATAGGAAGACACGACCGATCGCTTAAATAGTTAAATAATGACTACGTTAGTACACGGAAATAACCAATGCCATATTCAGGGCCAACCTCCTTAGAAAGCGAGACGATGGGAAACGAAACGGATGTATCTTAGAAATAGCACGTAACTAAAAGCGACTCCACACTCTGTTGACCCTTTAAACGGCCGTGCACACACAGCTGGATATATGTATAACACGATTGTTATATATATCGAACAGTTTACGTGTACACTCTCGTTCTTTAAAGCACCTCACTTTCGAAGTGCTTTTATCAATAGCTTTTGTCACTAACAACTAAATACGATAAATTCAAAGAGCATTAAAGGATGTGCTTTCCTTTGCTACTTAAATTATGAGCTTACAATATAATTTATCAATTTCACTATGTACTGCGTCTTCGTTCGTATGGTACAGTCGCGTGATGTCATGTGAATATCGATGTAAACCTACCGGGTAAAAGGTAGTTGACATATTAATTGAAATGTGAACAGGATCAGCGGACAAAGAACGTTCAACGATCACGCCATTTCCATATGTTTACGACTCGTCTCCCAAGAACTTCTTGATTACTTTAATATTAATCGATATTTTGTCTAAGGAGGGAAAGAACCGACGTGTGGGACGCGTCTCATCGAAAGCGAAGGAAAAGATGCCAACGTAGGAAACGAGCCAAGCGTTACAACTTTCAAACAAACGAATTCTCTCGCTTTCCGAATGATCATGTGGCTTGCCTATATTGCGGTCAGTCGAATTTCGGTGAAGTAACTGTAGGTCAAACCCCGGATAAAGTAATACGTACAACAAAACGTGCCAATTCGCGGATAATCCTAATTTCTTAACTGAACATCTGTTCGAAACGTTGAAACCGATTGATTCTGATGTTACATGAGTTTTATATGGGTATAAGTGAAAGATAACAAAGAAAAACCGCTAGGCCAGTCACACGAGCACGAGGTCTGTCCAAGATGGTTAATATATGGTAATTACCTGTGTAATTACACCTCGTTCGAAGTACTGCTTTCCCTTGGATGATCTGTGCTCGTCCTGCGATTAATTACAATGAACTTCTAGACACACTGAACAATATTTCCCGCAAAAATCGTAGAAAATTGCGCCACGTTACAACAATGTTTTCCCTTACTCGCGAAAGACAATATGGCGGCACAAACTCAGGAGCAGCATGGCCGGGATGATGCGACAGCAGCACCACTCGCGGTAACTTCTGTAACTAAAACCTGGCGCTAAATTTCTTTCACTTCAAATGTTCACTACTGTACACGACATGTGTATCATTCTGTTATTGCTGTTATCTTATGGCGAAATTTTCTACAATTAACCATGTATCAGGAGTATCAAAGAGGAATAGAGAGTGCTTATCTCTGGGGATTTACTTGCCGCGATGGACTGGTGCTGCACCATGTGGCCAACTCCTGAAAAAGAATAAAAAACTACACCAGTGGTATATTACCGGCTTACCTCGATTGGTATTTTACCGCCGTTGCTTCACCGGTAGTTCTACTGGTAAGACTCAGCATGTTGATGACTGTTCATCACTTTCCCGCCAGATGATGACAGTTCCGGAGTTTCTGGCGGTTTTTTTAAAAAGAGCGCTTCGTCCAGGTGGCAGTGGCGGTACACTGTTAAAACCGCGCGATAACATTCCAAAAATGTGCAAAATAGTAGCAAATATTTCAGAACTTAATATTTATTTAAGAAAGAATGTCTTTTTGTGAAAAGAAACTATCAAGGATTATAAGATCTAGCCAAGGACTTGACCTAGACGTAGGGTGACGTAGATAACCTTGAGGTTGATACGCCTGCGCATCGGTAGCCTATTTTTAACGACCCGCACTCAATGATTCTCCTTACGTATGCAGTTCTTGGATCCTATAAATTTTTATTATGAATTTTATCAAGTATCATGTGTCGTTTACCTTAAGACACTTATATGAATAGATAGAGCGTGAATCCTGACAAAGGGTAGATCGACTCTCATAAAAATGTAAATGACAATAAAGATGTGCTCTTGTACTCTGCATAATGTCGACAACACTGCTGCGTAACTTGCAATGCAAATTTAGATCGAGTCGAGGGTCTGTTCTCTGGAATACAAAAAAATCTGAGCTATGATGTTGGAATAAATCTACGAATTTATAAAATTAAAATTAAGTATTGCATTAGAAAAAAAACAATTCTCTGTGGAAAGATTCGAAAAATGTCTAGAGGATTGTCTAGAATCCGAAGGTCTTCAGATAATCCACGAGATCGTTTGATCTGGATGCACGGCGTCGGGACGCAAGGTTACAGCGGTCGTCGGGTCAGCAACACCACGGCCGTTTTCCCCTCTCTCCGTTCCTCTCGGCACCAACAGCTTTACCCTTCCTACACTCTCTTGCCCGTCCTTCCTTCCTAGCACTCCCCTTCGGACAGCTAGCCAACTAACCAGCCCTTCCTCTCATCTTTTCTCTCCTTTATTTATCCTCGAATCGGTCGTGCCATGGTTCGCCATCTTCCACGGACCCATCGAGATTCTTATTAACAGTTATTACGCGGTTGGGGCATTCTTTCTTTTTAGGGGAATCGGTATTTCTTCAGGGATTATCCGCCTGCTCTCTTGAATAGGGGAAGCTTTTGAAACGATAGTGGTCGTTAATGATTACACCATGCCTGGTGGCTCAGAATGACGTTTTCGAGAGATTAATTGAACCGTGGTGACTGGAAACAACGGGGAAGTCGACGGGGGACAAGCTGTCTAACCCTCATAGTTGAGAATTTATTTTTGATACTAAATTCGATTAGGAAGTTAGATGATTCTGATCAGTTTCAGAAATACTGCATCTTTGGGAATTTATTCGTATAAACATCAAATTCGCGAATAAATGACAACGAATGCTAAAATGTTAAGCGCAGAGATTTGATTGTCAATTATAATAATCGAATTTAATTATTGTTGTTTCACTAGTGCATTTAACCCTTCGATTGTGGTAGTGGAGCTGCTTGCAAACAACGAAGTGGAGGGGGTGTCTGGGTCACCCCCTTTCATGTTGGTCTGTCTGGCTGGCTGGCTACCTTGCTGGGGTTCGCAACCCTAGCTTTTGGAGCAATGTTATATAGTCTGTGACACCGAAATACATCGGTTGTTTACATTCAGCTGGCGTGTATCAATCAGGCTATTGATTAAACTACTGTAATGGCTAATTATAGTCAGGTTTCTCTTCTTCGTACAATACCTTCTGTACACGCTGACTGTGCACGGAGATTAATTATATGCTGGTTAGAGATTGAAAAAGATCAAGCAGATTTAACGATAGTATTATAATAATTGAAAGAATTATAAGATAGTTAGACGACCACTGACCTCCTGATCACTATACCGTGACCAGCGTTTCAGTTTTGTTACTAATCATTAACCATGACGTCTAGAACGAAAGGGAAAACTCGGAGAAAATTTATCACTTTCAAGATAATCCAAACAATCATCTACTCTCTAATAACACGAATGCCCATTAATCTTAATTAATGGAGAAAGTTTAAAGGCTAATTGCAAAACATTACGTGAGAGAGTTGTTTCTTGAGGTGGGTCCAAATTGCTGATCTCTTTGCACGCACAAAGTTCTTTCAACCCTGTTCAATCAAATATCGTCGGCATCGAGAGAAGAAATAAGAAGGTTTTAAAACGCCCACTTGATAGCTGATACGACCGCTTATCTTTCCCTTTCTTTTCACCTTCTTTTTTATTTTCATCGCGAATGAATGCATCATATTACGTTTATCGTGTGTGGGCGGTGCAACGGTTTATCAAGCAGACAGGGTTTTGCACCCCGTACCATTGACGCTGGCTAGGGTTCTACAGAAGCAGCTATAGTCACGGTGGAGGGAGATCCGTCTGCTGGAGGGGGTGTCTGGGGCATATCCCCTCCAGTCTGGGGGGTTCCCAAACCCCAAACGCATTTCCCGGGGTTCGCAAATCTCCGGCTCGTTCACACCGTGTCCCAGACAACGATGTCTGAAACTTTGCCTCCGATGGCACAGTTTCGATGAAACTTGCTGTCTGAATCGAATTTCCGTCTGCTGATTTTTTGATATAATTTTAAGTACAGTGTGATTGTACGTAAGAATGAAAAATCAGATGGCTCTTTGCTAGACTTTTCTATGTCCTGTGTCTTACATTTTTCAATCATGACAGTTAATGATAAACTTATAATAGTGCAAGTTCTAAATACGTGACTGTAGATATCAGTCTCTTATACTTCAGCTTCGAAAGAAGGCCGGATGTTTCGGTGAGCAAATAACGGTCGATACGTGGAATTCGTTGACATTGATCCAGCGAATTCGTCGTATAGCTATCGGTGAGTCACCGTGGCTCAGTGCCCTTCAACCAGCGTCGTCCATTTCCTAAACTGAATGCCTGGAATCCCGAGTACATTTGACTTGCTTTCACCGTTGCGCTTATTATTTTCAATTAACCACTTTTTTTTTCTTCACGCTCGTTGACTCGTTTATTCACACCGGTTATCGCGCCCATTTTCAGTTACGGCGGCGTTTGATTTCCAATTTGAATTATTTATAAAGTTAACTCTAATTAAGCGATAGCCATTCAGTTGAAAATAACTTTCCAAGAGGCTTTCTTCGGAAGAAATCGAAATGATCGATCGACAGATCGGTAGCCAATGAAATTTCTGGTTTATGCGAATTTTTAGAAATTATCGCAGCTTTCCACCTTCCAAAATCTTCTGAAATTTCCATAAAGATTACGGTGATCGAGTCATTCCATAAATACCCCGAGAACTCCAGCCAAAATCAACAACATCAAAGCCGTTCTAAAACGCGTCCAGGGTTTCCTAACTGAAACAGGAGGGCGAACAGGGCGCACGCCGAGAGATTGATGGTCGGCGAGTGGTAAAACTCGGCGAAAATGAGTCGAGGAGCATAAAAGTGGCACAATTGGTTCAGTGGGGCGGTGCCCCTACGGCCTTGGCTCGGGACACTGAACTCTATGGCGATGCGAAACGCGTTGTTCGAGCCTCGTGCGGTGCCCCATGCACTTCTCACCCCCCTCACGACCCTTCTGTTCTCCCTCTTCGAACGAGCTGCACCCGTTTCGCGCATATGCAACGTCCACTCCCGGTCGTTTCACTCGGAACTAGGCCCAACGAGACGAGGAACCGGTCACGCATGCGCACGGACTACGCGTTGCATTCGCGCGCACGCATGCGAACTAAGGATGCGACTCGCGAGGCCGCAATAGGGCACGCCGGAAAAGAACGAGGAAGAGGAATCCATAGAAACGGGAACCAGAGAGGAAATTCAGCAAGAATGGAAGGTTACGAAAGAGTTGCCAAGATTTGCGAACGTTTCGTTAAATAATTCAACGGAACGGCGAAAAGGGTGGGAGAAAGAAGGAAGATTCAGTTGGCGGATGATGGAAAGAGAAGCAAGATGGAGGCGTCACTTTAAACCTGGGATAAAAATGTCCACTTATACTTCTAATCTCTAAGTTCTGCTGTAATGTTCCTAATCTTGTTTAGATATTCCAGAATATCGAAGTGACCATATTCGGTGGCTGTTATTAACAGGAAGGGGCGAGAAAACGTGCGAATGAGTGAGAAGACGAGTTAGCGAACTAGGCGTGTCGAGAGCGTTCACTCTGCATGATGCGTCGGTCCTTTTCAAACCTAAGCAATATCCTACATTTAGTACCCTTAGGGAGAAGTACCGAAGGGTGCCGGAAACGAAGAGAAATTGGGGTTGATTTTGACTAGAAGTATTCCAGAGTGAAAGATAATTGAATTTAGAAACCAGAATCTCTCGAATATTGCTCTAATTGTTAGACATTTTGTTTGTTCAATGGTGGGATATCATGGCTTTGCCGAAATGTTTACGCCGAATCCCGCACGTAGGCCATCCTTGGAAGCCTGGCATAGCTTCGGCATCGTCTTTTTGCCATTTCATCGAAGTCTCAAGAATTCGAAAGCCGAAGGACATCGACAGGGAGAAAAACACGCGGGAGCATCCTTTTCAAACGTATTGACGCGTGCGTCATATAAGAGAGTACATTCTTGATCCTGCATTCCGATCCTGGAAATGGGATGGAAGAAATTGTTTTGTAATTGGTAGATGGAACATTAACCATCCATTTGAAAAATATTTATCAATTACTAAAATATCTTAATAGGGAAGGAGTTATACACGGGGTGTCCTGTGCAATTGGGTCAAAATAAAACTAATACGTAAAAGCAAATTATTGAGTTCTTCAACTCATTCGTACATGTCCCTTTCGAAAAAGAAGAAAACAATAATCAAAATTCGCATAATCGAGCTCGTCCATGTTCTGTTCGTTCGTTCGTCAGCCTCTGCTTCGATGCAGCTGTTCGCGAAGTGGTGGCGCGTGTTCGCGCGGCATTGGGCATTGCACTCGGCGCTTCTCTCGAGGGCGGTCTCCCGGGTTGATGCACGCGGAATGCAGCCGAAGTTAGCCGAGGATGCACGAGGCTAGCTCGAGCCGCAGCTGCAACGGTCATCGGGTTCGATGCACTTTGCGCTCGCGCGCGTTTCAGCATGCACGATTCTGCACAAATGACTCAGCCGAGCGGGGCGCACGAGGGATACGACCTTGACCCGGCTGCACGTAGGTGCATCGCACCTTGGCGAGTTGCGAGGGGCTCGATCGTGGTCGAAACGGTGCCTGTACAAAAAAGCTTACGAAATTCTTAATCGCTAATAACAAATTAAAATTTTCTTTTACATTTCTTCGGCAACATATTTCCAGACGCGTCGAAGCTTTTGAAGAGTTCAGGGCGCAGAGACGTTGCCGGTGTCGTTGTTCAATAACGCTTGGAAGAATTTGTGTTGCGCGCCGAGTTCTATATTAATTTTAATTTGTAAATACCCGCCGAAGCAATCGACGCATTAAAATTATCCAATCAAAATTTTTACTTCAAGTTACAAACGAAACGATTGTCAGCCTATCCTGGAAGATGACCACCGTGGCCATGAAGTTGCATACGAAGTAAGAATCGAGTATTCTCGCGTTAATTCCCGCGGAATTATCATCCTGTTGTTCTTGTCAATCTCATTATTTGTTGCACTACTTCTTTAGATCTTCAAGGCCTGTCTGCCATTTCATTCGAGGTTATTGTGCGAGTGGCGAGTTCATTGTAACCAATGCCACTGTACGGAGATATAATTTTTATTTTTTTTTTTTTTCAACTAAACGAGCTATCGTGACAGAAACTGATACAGTGAAAAACAGACACACACACTGGTCAGATGACACCGAGAACAATGGTGCTATCGTGGTAATTGACCAGGCAGGATGCACCGGGAACGGTTTCAACGAGCACATTGTTGCATAGCTATCGTTACGAATACGGTAATCAACGCGTTTCTAAAATCTTTCGAACGATTCGCTTTCATTGTTATTACGAGTGGTCGGGTTATGAAAACGATTCAACATTATTTCTTTGTACGAATAGAGAGAGACAATATGATAGAAATTTAATATGCATTTTCTTTGTGTCATGTGTTATTCAATTTGTCATTCGTAGTTGAGTGTATTTGCATTGAAAGTAGAAATAGACTTATGTAAATCATTCTTTTTCTTTTTACCGTTCTTTTTTTCTTCGATGCAATTCACTTTCGAAATACGCAAAAACGGTAATTGCGATTTCTAATTGTTTAGAGATTTAATTCAAGTGAAAGTGCATCGTTTTGCAAAATAACTTATTCCTACCGATTTCTTTTATTTTTTTTAAATAAACTTTTCACGTGCCATATGCCTTTTTACTGGGATCATATGTCTCGTTAAAAGTCACGATCAGTGGAATCGCGTAACGAGGTTCCGTCGTTAGAGAATAAGCTACAGAATCTCGAAACAAGGGGTCCTTTTTACCGCGATCAAAGGATCTCGCGATGCCGCAGCTAATTTACTTCATATGCATAGTTCAAAGTGTGTTGTACTCGACGATCGGGTTCAACGTCTGCCCGACGAGAATGAGACAAAGGCTAAAAGGCCCTACCTCTTCGTGGTATCTTTATAGAACACAGTGTCATCGACATGCGACAGGGTGTATCCATCGTAAAGGTCAACGCATCTATTGTGCGCGAGCTTATCGAGAGGCAAAGTCTAGAAAGAAACGGTAAATTGATTCTATAAAAATTCCCGATCGAAAGAAAAAGATATTGGTCCGTTGTCATTGAACACCGCGCGATGCTTGAACGTTCGTTTTTGACCCATGTTTGTGGTCGATCATCTCGCTCGTCGCGAGTATTTGCGGCTTGTTATCTCAACCCGAGTCAATCTGGAGTGATAGAATGTTATTGTGGCGGTTCAGTAACTCGATGCCTTTCTTCTGAAACCGTGTAATAATTCCATCTGCGTTGATTAGCTGTGCACATTTTATCGCGCCATTTTATTTATACCGGACAAAATGAACGATTAAATATCGACGATGGTGATATTTACCGGTACTATTATTTCGGCGGGAAATAAGTATTTCCATTAAAATTATCATCAAAGCAGATCGTGAGGTACAGACTTTCTTTGGCATGCCTGTCCAGCGCAATTATTTAAATCAGCACGTCGACCCGGTGCTTAAAGCAAGGTTACCGGGATGCATCGGCGGTTCTCTCTTCTCCCTTCTTCTTGGACCAACAGCTACGACCAACTATGTATTTATACATCAACGGAGGGATGTATTTCGGTCCGCGGACGCTGACGCTAGCATGCGGTGGCGACGGCCGGGCCCGCGCTCCTAACCTTGAACTGATGAACATCCCACAGTCACCACTCGGCTGCCATGTCCTGAGCTATTCCTGGACAGTCACCCTGGAGGAGGACGCGTTAACTCGCACCACTTTCGCCTAGATCTAACTACGACAACGTTGGGAAGCCGTGATGTCAGCCATGCGGCCTGCAACTTTCGTCTCGCGCCACCCTTGTCTCCTCTTTTTCTGCGCTCTCGCTGATTCGTTGTTACGAAATCGTACGAGGGCATTGCGTTCTTCTTTCTTCGTTTTTTCATGACTTCTGTAAACGAATATTAGTCAATTGAAGGTGCTATGTAAGTCATATTTGAGCGACGCTTGAATTTTCATAGTGATTCATTTAGGTCGTTTCTTCCATCAGCCAGGATTTCAGGGTACAAACGTTGAACTTGACTTTCTTAATGCGACACAGGTTGTCTACCACTGCGCCACGATCGACCCCGACGCAAGGATGGTCGTCGGAGGGGTTGCGACAGAGGATATGAAAGTCGGAGGGCAAAGTAGCGAGGGTGGCTAGGCCAGGGTGAGGGAAAGTGCAATGCCTGTCTGCCCCATTCCCTTGGTCGTCGTTGTCGTCGTCGTCGGCGACGACGGCATCATACGTTGGGCTCGTCTGACGCGCTCGAAGGGACAGAATGCACATAGTAGATGGGGATGAGGATGAGCGACAGCAGACACCGACAGCGGTAAACATAGTGCTCTTGAAAAATAGAACACTCGTTAGCGTATTCGAGCGTGTCAGAAGGGGGCTGAAAAAGGAAGGGACGAATGACTTTCTTGCCCCCTCTCTTTTTGTCTACTCACCCTGGCTAGGACGAGTCCTGGCCGACTCGTCTCTTTTCAAACAGCGATTTAACGAGGATCCAGAACGCCTGGCTTCGTTAAAAATAATTAAAGAACCAGGATCAATGAGACTTTTTTGAGTTTCTGTTTTTAGTCTCCTACGTGGGAGGATGATCTTGAGTTTTCGTGTTGAATATTCAATCTTTTTCGTCTACAAGTTTATGACGATGTTTAGGAGAATTCTATTGCAGAAATTTCATATCAAAATTAAGTGATGCCTTTTATTAGCACTACATTTGGCCATTTAGCATCGGTGTCATAAAATGTTCAATCAATTCAGTATTAATGACACGCGATAATGAATCCATTCAACTGAATATATTTATCCATCACTTTTAATAGCGTACATTGTTCAAGATATTCATTATCGGAAACAAACTAAATAAATGCTTGCATTATTATCTTCGGTAAGTAGTCGATATCAGTGATGCTTTGTCTTCATTACCCTTGTCTGCGGTGTATGTACATACAACTTTGCTGTGATACAATTGCAAATACATTTACATGGTAAACATTAAACATGTTCGACTGTACATTTGTGCATTTCCACTGCAATATTGAACGCGTTCATCAGCCAAAAGTACTTACATAGAGCAAGAAATGAAATTCTGCTGGTCTTTTGCCTTGGATTGTCCGTAAGGGTAAGCGTATCACGTATCGTGCAGTTGGAAGGCAATTTGTTATGGGTAGCCACGTAGAGGGCGTTTTAGAGAGTAGTTTGGAACGGGGGCATTGGTGCCATCCTGGCTGCCGCTGCAACGTGATGCAGTATCCAGAAGAAACAAGTAGACGCGAATCTTTGGGCTTGCATCTTGGCATCGTCTCAGCAGAGTTGAATGCACCGTCTAATTTTATGCACACCCTCATGGAACACTGTTTTTCTCTAGGTCTAGTGCAAATACCTTATCCTTTCGCCTTTCGGCCGCATCCCTGGGACGACACACTTTTTGCACGTCTCGTTCACTTGGAAAGCTTCCCTCCCCTTCTTTTTCTTTCGTTTAGCTGATTGCAGTTGAACGAGATGCTGTTCAGAATTCTTCACATGATCAAATTGTTTGCTCTAAAAAAAAAAATTAACGAACGGGAGATATTACACCCTCTGTATTAATAATTGGTATATGGTGGTTGATGGAGAGGATATAGGATTAAAAATTATTTTAAAATGAATCGACAATCATCAATGAAATTAACGGTTGATGTATTTCTATCTTTTGCACGAGGTTCAACGGTAGAGAAAAATCGAAGAAACGATCCAAGAAGGTTGAATCGAAATTACAATGGCAGATTTGCCGGTTGGCTACGATTTAAAGCCAGAACAACGAGCGAAGCTCCCATCAAGAATTGCTGGCGTGCTTTCGAGGAATTGCAAAAAGATGCAAATGACCGGAGCAAAAGGGGTGAAGTCGAAGAGGGTTGAGCAGGGCGCAGGCGCATTCCGAAACGTGTTCTTGCACAAGTTCGAAGCGGATCGCGACTACGTAACACAAGCATCGAACACGGGACGAGGGAGGAGGGATTTAATGTTCGTCTGATGTGAAGAGCTACCAGAAAGGAGGCTCTCTCTTTTGAATGTCAATGTCTTTGTCTCTTGGACGCGCCATTGCATCCCACGAAACGGTTCCCACTGGCATAGCCAGAGGGTACCTCCTCCTTTTGCATTTTCTCCCGTTTGCTATTTTACATTCTTTTCCTCTGCGAATTTCATGAACAAACACAACTGGTTCGCCGAAAGATGAATTTTATATTCACGGTGAAGATATTTTTATTCCCATTGAAATTTTAAAAAGATTCGTTGACTGCTCATCGAAAAGGCGAGTACTCGAGCGGACGTAGTGAAAGTCGTGTTCCGTTTCGAACCACACCATAATCGTATTCCAAGCCACACGAAAATCATTTTCGAAGCCAAGGAGCCAAGCAAACTTCTCAACCCCTCGAGGTGAACAGAAGGGAAGGAGTCGTCGCGGAGGTTACAAAAGAGACAGGGGGTGAAACAGCAACAGAAGTCGCAGAATTCAATTACAGAAACGAAAGGAAGGAAATGGAATCTGGAAGAACCAAACATGTGATATTACTCTTTTTCAAAAAACAGATCGTACAACAGAGTGGAACAGAATCTACACTCTCCACGATGAACCACTTCCTGTTTCCTTCCTACTAACACATTTTCGTTTGAATCGAATTTACGGAAGAAATTTGAAATATTACGGACAATATCCCAGACCTAGATACAAATGACAGAATCTAAGAGAAAGTACCTATACACGTCGTATATAAAAAGAAACCGCCTAAGGGTGCAACCAGAGTAGTTTCCCCAACAGGAGATTAAACAGCGACGTTTTCCTAGTTTCCCTTAGGATGTCGAAGGAAGCCGATCGGGGTAAAGGAGCGTAGAAACAAAAATAGGGTCTGCGCGACGTTAGCTACGAAATAAAGGTAAAAATAGAGCGCGGTGAAAGAAGGTAAGGAAGGAAGGGAATGAAGCAAGGGCGATAGAGATGGAGTGGCATCTCGTCTGGCTTCAGGGTTCTCTAGAAGAGGAGGTTGTACGCTAGGGAAAGGTAGGAGGTTGAGGTCGACGCCGTTCGCGGGAACGAGGCATTGACCTCCAGTGAGTTAGGATGTCTGCCGGTATTGATTCGGCGGCGGTGCAGCGGACTCGGGGGTGGTGAAACAGGAATACGGGAGTACCGGGATGTCGGAGAGGGTTGGCGGCCTGTGACGCCTGCAGGGACACCCCTATGGTAGGGGTTCCGCCGGCGTTGTAGAATGGAGAAAGAGAAACAGCTTGGCGAACGACGAAAGAGAGAGAAAAGGTGCAACGTACTGGGGCAAACTTTCCTCTCGCTTCGTCAACCTGGCCTTCTCCTCGTCGCTCCCCTTTCGCACGAGCAAAAAGGAGGAACGAGCTCGCAGACAGGGCGGTTGCCAACCTGAAAGACCTATTAAAAAATCCTACGGACTCGGAGCCAGTTCTCAAACATCCTCTATTTATTAAGTTGCTGCACAAGTCCGAAAGTACTAGAGCTTCAATTTTTAATTAAACTTATTTATACGTTTGTTTAACACCGGGAAGCGATGGAATATTTTTTTATCCAACATCGACCCATTTTCGAACCAAGGTATCATTCTGAAGTCAACTATTTCGAATCGTGCGTCGAATGAATAACTACGGCTAATACACCGTAGGTTCAATTAAAATTATGAATACTAAAGAACCAGGCATGCCCTTCATTTTCACCTATCTTATCTCCATGAACGTATGAGTAATAATGATGTTTATCAAAAGGGTTAAAAGCACCGTCAGCGCTATCATAGAATTAAATGGCCGGCCATTTAAAAGGAGGACAGATCCTTGTCATGGGGTAACAAAGTTCTCCACCTGGTTGCAGTTGCGTCATGGGGCGTGGCAGTGGCATAGTGGTAGTTGTACAGCAGGAGAGAGCGAAAGTTCGCCCCAGTGCCGCCATCCTGTCTGCAGAATTCCAACCCCCGTGTCCGGGCGACCCAGCGAACGTCTCCCGTTGCACCCCGTTTCCTCCGTCGCCCTTCGAACCAGTGAAACCAGTTACAGTTTCTGTAATCGAGATCCTCTGATGCAGGTACCACCGTGATCGGTTCCTTTTTCTCCTTTACCAAATATCAAATGTGAATTATATTTTTCTTCCCATTCATCATGGGAGTTCATTAAATTTTTTCAATGAAACAGAAGAAAGAAGTAACGAGTTTATTTTCACATGAATGAAATAAAACGTTAACGAACATCTAAGTAATACGATATTATTTTCAGAATGCTCGCAATTATTATTTGTCGCGTTATCCCTTAGGATATTTCCCCTGTTTTCTACTTATTTGCACAAATCGCGTTAATTGACGTCGTCAAAACGAATTACACTTGTTTCATCTATATTTACTATAGGAAAAAACTTTCTCCCTTCAATTATTTTGCGTCGATTCTTTTTCTCTCCCAGTTCCTGTCATACGATTATTTTTGCAATGTCGTATTACGACGGTTTTTCTCGATCGAAGTGGAGAGGCGAAGGTCGAAAGAACATCCTCGCCGTCTAGAGTCTAGACGTCCTTTGGAAATCTTCCAAAATGGGGTCGTTTCTTATCCCTCTCGAAAGCTGGCTTCGTTTTTTTTTTAAATTTATTTAAACAATAATAAAATAACCGTCAGTATTTTACCGTAAATAATACAGTCTCTTTTGAAAAGGAAAAGGACTCTGATTTGCCAGATTGTTTTTTTAAGAACGTCTAGCGTCGGTGATTCAATAATTACCATAAAAATGAAATTTCTTAAACGATACTCGAAGGTCCAAAGACATTTACCGAAAAAGGAAGGTTTATCTAGGGATACTCGTAAAAAGAGCGTCTCAAAGGCAGTTGTTGGCACGATTTTCCACGTAGCCATACCATGTCAGATTACTATATTTCAATGGCAGTCGAGGACGAACCCTCGCTTTTCCACCCTTGCAAGTCCGAATTCCGTTACGACGAGTGGCTTTGCGTAAATGGGATTTTGCTATGGCGTTACGACGTCTTTAATACTGTGAATGTACCGTCAGAAACATACTCTTCCATTCTAAAACGATTAAACACCTAATAAACAAACTCAGGTGAACTTCATATCAATTATGTCATCGGTGATCAGGATCTAATTTAAAAAAAGGCATTGAATTAATTTTGAAATTGATTAAAAATTGTTTCCAATAAACTCTTCACCTGAGAATTGCAAAGAATCAGCCTCGGCAATCATCGTCGATTCGCTTCAGCTTTGAACAAAGGCGCTACGAGAAATCTGACAGTTCGAGTAGAGCCTTCGAAACTGCATACACGATGAGAGTGTCCTTTGCATGAACGGGCATGAAAGGAGAATGCATCCTGTCTGCATAGGATACGTTGCAACACAGCGGACGACGACCCTCCACGATCGATGCACGTTCTTCACGAGGGTTGAACGTCGGCATACCAAAGCTATTTTTAATTAATCGTAATTATGCGCCGGCTTCAAAATCACCGTTACATTCCGCTCGATTCTCCCTCGAACGGGGGTAAACGATTGAATTTAATCTTTGACTACGCATCCCCTCGCAACGATTCACCCTGTTTTTCAAGGAAATTCATAAATTTTTCCTTCTGTTTGCTATCGAATCTGTCGACGATGTAAAATCAAAGTTTCGAAGAAACTATCTCAGTTTAAATTGATTTGCAAAATAATTTGGCGACCGCGTTTTATCGTTCAAGTCTCGTAGAGTCGTGAATATGTATAGATCGAAGTAGAGAAGCTAAGCTAGAAGAAAAGAAGAGGAGAAAGACAAGGTGGAAGGTTCGTCCATGGAGGGTTGTCTGTCTAGACGGATCGTTGTTCGGTGCAAACTGTGACCGTGAATCGACGACGATGTAGTTGTGAAAAGGGACGAAGCAATAACGAATAGTGCCTGTAGACTGCGTGGGTGACGGCATTGTTTTCAGATGCGCCGAAAAAAGTACTGCGAAGAATGCAACCTTCGCGAGATACCTCTCATTTTATTCTCCAGACATTTTCTATATTTCCAGATAACTATTATTTTGCATCTAAACGTTCGAATTCTAACAGATTTAATTTCTTACAATTTTAAACATAACAACTCGAGTTCTAAAAATAATCATCCATAAAATGAATAAATCTTAAATTTTATGCAAAATATCGAGAATCAGGTTTACCAACGTCGGTTTCCGAGATAACCAACGAGTTTCGTGAAATTTTTCACCGTCAGTTCGGGTGTAGATTCGATTAGACGGATCCGCGGTGGTAAAGGGGTATATAATTATTCGCGCGATAACCATGCAAAGTGTATGTGCACGCGATAGGAGGGGCCTTTGGCCCGTTGCTTGTGCACAGTCACGGGGTCATTAAGCTTCAGGGGCATTGGCCAGACTGAAATGTTTCCTAACGTGTCTAATTGCGCTCAGATCCCTCGCACTTTTTTCAGTGCGTCTTCGCATCGTCACGATAAACGTCAAGTTCGTCGATGTTATTCCATCCTCGGTTTATTCCATGTCATATTTCACTCTGTTTACGGTTACGTCGATATAAAGGCGATACGAAAAACTGCGAGAGAAAAAAGGAATTGGTTTCGCGATGGCGAACGCTCGATGTAAAACATGGCGAGGGGTGCATGTGAGCAGAGGCGTTTTATGAATTAATTTCTGATCGTGCAACACGATAGATCGAATTGCGAGAAGTTTTAAGACGTTAAGAATTTCGTGTTATTATTATTTTCTCTGTATTTTGCAGCAGTGAATTGACTTTAATTAATTGAAATAAATAAAATTCGTAGAATTCCAAAGCAAAGGAAACTCGATGAATCCTTATTTCCTTAGAAATTCTGATCTCTAAAGTTCAAACGGGAGGAAAGTTAACCTTTAGAATTTAAAAAAAAAAGAATAATAAATAGAAACAACAAGTTCGCGACAATCATACTTCCTGGAAGGAGCCGTTTCATACCGCTTACCGGGTAACGAATCCAATTACTTGCTAATTAGAGAATCGAGGCAGCAGTACTTTTAACGAGTTGCGTGGCAATCAACGCGAAGGTTCAGAGGCGGCAGGGGATGCCATGGGGTTTTTCTCGGCGAGGATGAAGTGCGCAATTAATCCGTCTCGCGTAGCCACTTCTGCTACTAAAACTGCATTGATATCCCCGTCATTTTCTCTCCCCGTGTCTACGCGTTTCCTTCTGTCCAGCCCATTTCCACGAATGCCAACCGACGTAAGGAGACTGCTAACGATCCCGTGTAATGCGTATCTTCAGGGATGAAAACCCTCGATTCACCCTCTTCTTTTTCACGGACTTCTTCCATCGGATACTAAGATTTCATTTAACTCAGTGACAGATTTCATTGAAACTCATCGTTTGAAAATATAAACAATACTGATTATTTTAATAAAGCATCCATATAAATAATATATTAAAAAAAAAAAAGAAAGAAATGGAAACTAACATACGACACGGGTCTAATAATAATCGGTATGTGTGGATCGAAGGAGGTGAAAGGAAAGCATGGGATGCAAATTGGAAAGCAGGCCCGTTTTAAATACGCGATGTTCGCGGTGCAGTGAATAATGTCCCCGAGACGAGAAGGGTGTGTTTGAGGGGCGGTTGAAAAGATGCCCGACTGCAGCGTTTTAAGTATTCTTCTTTGGCTTGCGCGAAAATCGAGCCGGTAGGAAGAGAGAAAATAGGGAAGGCAGGGTCGAACAGTCGGTGAGCACGTTCGTGCAGAAGCCTCGACCACGTTTCCATGTGAGCGTGCAGACAGGAAGGGGCGAGCAACCCCTTGTCGGCGTCTGGCGCATAGGCGTAGATGCAGCGTTGGTGTTCGCTGTGACCGGGTCAGCGAAACCCAGCGAGAGAATAAACTTTTTCCACACCTGTCGATTCCCTCCTCTGACGCAGGTGCGCCCGGAAATTCCTCGAGTTTCTCCCGGGTTCTCTCTGGAATATTAACGAATTTCTGATTTTGGTCGAGATTTTCGAACAAGACAAATTCTATGACTTTTCCAATAATAAATCAATAGCAATAATTTAAACAATTCGGACAATTTGTCATTTATAACATAAGATAAAATATTTGCATGTAATCTTAATTTATATGAATCATTGTACAGGGGATGCGGGGTTCGTATCGATGAAAATTAAGGGAAATTAATAAGTTCGGTTTTTAATAAGCAGTGACGCAAAGTGGTGTCGATAATGATCCCTCGGTTAATCGAATCAGAGGTTCGAAGACGTCCCTCGATTCGAAGGGGATGGAAAAAAAGAAGCACCCCCGACAATGCAATCAAAATACAACCCCTCGAACGTCCGCCCCTCAAAAGTTCACTGTAACCAGCCAGACGATCTTCAGTCTCAAGTAATGACAAGCCACGGTCCGTTTTGACCCTCTCCACCGCGCTGCTGCATCCCCCTGAGCGTGGGGGGGTGACGGTCTAGGTGAGGGACGTCGCGTGCGCGCGCATCTACGATGCAGTGGAGGTCATCCACCTGAAAGGTCGGGGTCACACTCTGTTGGTCGTAGACCGCCGTCGTCGGGACGACAGAGGGGTAGTTTGTCGGCGGTGGGTGGCTGGTGATCGCCATAGCAACCCCTACGCGCCAGTCAAGGCTAGACTGTAGGTTCTCAGTGACGGCGCAGTATCGTCTGGTGTATGGGCAGAGCTTTGGGAGAGGGAAACTACCGATTCCGAGAATATGTCGTTCCTCAACATTTTCATGCACCTTTGAACGAACAAAATTATTATTGCTGCGAGAACAGAACTATTATCTCAATATTATCGAACAGCAGTAGTTTCTGGATGTTTATACGAATAGTTATTTTTATAAGTGGGACTTTGATAGAAATATGTTTTATCTTCAGAGATTCAATAACTCCAATAATTTTAAAAATTTCAGATGGCACCAATGAAGCTACTTAATTCGTTTGAAATAGCGCTCACTTAAATGAAATTGTTGTTTCAGGTGGGAGGTTGAAAGTATTTCGGTAGTTTAATCGGGTATTTATCGATTTGTTCGAGTATTCTGTTTGAACCAGAGGGTACTTTATACTGACGTAGGTGGTGATCATCCTATTTTTTCACTGTGATAAACGACATCCTACACTCTCATCATATTTTCTTGGAAAATTCGGCAGGCATGCGATTAAGACCGTGATACATCGTCGAGAAGGGATAAGTGCATAATGGGCGACAAATTGCATGCTGCGATATTTGCAAGAGCGATAGCTTTTAAAAATGGAGTTCGTAGAATGGAAGTATAAGGGGTGATATTATGCTCGAACGCGACACGAAGGTGAATTGCAAGGGTGCACGGTGCATTGGTGTTGCAACATGTGACGTTCTTCTTGGTAAAATCTTTTTTGTTGTCGGCCCTCCGCTTCTCATCGCGTGTAAATTTACCAAACTGCGTTTCAAGTGGACTGTTCCAAGAAGGGGGGGGTAATTTAATTGACGATTTGAAATGTTTTAATATCGCTGCTGACGCACTTAAATTTTGTCATTGGCAATAACCGATTCTTAATTATTACTAATAATCACTTTTCAGTTAATTTTGAGAAGTTAACACGAATTTGCGAAATTGTTTCACACCAAAAGAACCGTGTACACTCGTGATTCGCGGCGATTTCGAAAAGCTCGACAAACGGCTCGAACCACGAATCATCAAAACACGTCGCGAACATAAGGTAGGTCAGGAATCCAAAAATAGTCGTCTGTGAACGTCATCGAGCGTCATCGGCGTGGTCCCGAATTTTTATTTCTTCCAAAAACAAAACCGTCGTCCAAAATAAGCCTTGAGACGCGTCTGGTGTTTTCTGCAAACAAATTGCACTGTTTATTTTATTCGCTCGTTTCTTTTAACTAAGATTGTGAAGATCGACGTTTTCGAGAATCGGTGATCGAATATGTGACCCAAGAATATCTATTCACGACGCAATACAAACGTTATTTATCGGGTAAGAAAGAAGAAAATCACGTAGGACGTTGTAGTTACCTTTCTTATTCGCAACCCACGTGAATAATGCGATTTCATTTTATCCTTACCAAGGTATCGATCATCCTATTCGGATTCCATCGATATTCAACGTTACTGATAAGGTGAATCGACACCGATATCGTAATTGGAAGACGAATAAAAATATCCAACGTCGACACCTGTTAGTCGAGAAATCAGAGAAATTAATTGGCACATGTCTATCGGCGAATGAAATGACCCTGATGATGATCATACTTGAATTATCCGAATACCTTGATGTTCTATTACTCGGACAGATTATGTCGTAGAGGGTAGAACAAGGATACAGGACGCGCGAGCAGTGATTTAGGATAATTGAACAGACTCGAGACGAGAAAATGAGTAAACAGAAGCACACCACGGTTACGAAATTATCACGAAGCACAGACGACTTTGTAAGCCGGCTGGTATCACCTGTGATAATTTGTGTTAACATTGAGACAGAGCACGGTCGATTAGAGGACGGTCTCTGATTCAGATATCGTATCTACTGACGTGAATGCATCTCTCCTATCACGAAAACGTTTTTGACTCCTTAACCTCGTACCCTTCATCCAGCGTCCATTAATTCCAGTAAATCTTATTTTTACAGTGACCTGCATATCGATGTGTTAATAACATAATTATTAATAAGATAATTATTAAGCATACGATCTGTTAATTTGCAGCCGTTATTTCTAGAGTAAGCAATTGGATATCTTATTTTTAATACTTTCGCTGAGACGATTAACGTGATAATATTACCGTCAGGTTCTATTTGATACGACATTGGGTTCGAATTGAATTTTCGTTCGAAATTGATAAAACGATTGTCCATCATTGGCTACAGACGAGAACTCGTGATATTACTGGTATTATGCTGATTGGGAAAATATTGATAAAGATTGAACCAGTGTCTGTAACCTTGGACTTGACTTATAAATTATTTATACAAACATTCTGTACCGAATTCTGATTAAATATCATTAACGTCTCTCAAAGTTTCACTGAATAAGTTAAAAATTAAATGAAACAAAAAAAATGAGTTAATCTATCGATTAAATCGTATTTAGAATTCGTTGAACCGGTGCTGTAAGATAAACGCACGAATAACAGTTTCACTGTTTACTATAGATCTAAAAAGAGTAAGCGATAAGAGGTCGTTATTAGTTGAGCGAGTGTAAATATAAATGCTAAAAAAAGAAAAATGAAATAAATGAACTGTGATCGCATTGAACAATGATAGGAGTGAAAATCTAATGGAAAACAGTCTGTATTATAATTTGATGCCCATCAAAATGTTAATGATTGTTCCTTCATCCGAAAATGACTCCGTTAAATTGCTAATAAATTCATGTTTATTTTTCCTCGAAGAAAAAGAAATCGCGATCGAAAAAGTGAGAAACATTTTGCGGGTCGATATCACGGTCGCTAATCAGACTGTTGCGAAAGCGTTCGAAACAGTTATATGTTAATGAGAGATTAATCGCGGCAGACTAAGCACTTTTCATGGATCCTGCTTGCAACTTTCTTGCCACGAACAGTGAAAGCTGTCAGATTGATTAGTCGCGTAACACGCGACCCTCTGGAACGGAATTCCGAGTCACGAAACGGAGAAATCACGTTTCTTTGAGACAGGTCATGGCTTGTTTGCGTTCAACTTTGTTCGTCTGAAATTTTCGCCCTTGATTCCCGTCAATAACCGTACTGATAAGCGGCACGCAATTCTCAGATTTTTTATCTTCCTCTTTCTCCCTCTCGATCTTGCTCGTCTCTTTTTCTTTCATATTTTGTAACGACGAAAACTTTGCACTCGATAAGATTCGGGTACTGACGCATATCCGTGCCAGAATTTTTGCACCGACGGCGTGCAAATAATTTGCACGATAATTTGTTATCCGGCGTTTTTACTGCTTTGAAATTGAAACCGAAAATAAAATATTCCTTTCGCGATTCAGTTGGAACATTTTTATTTTTATCATTGATGCGTAATGGGAAGAAAAATATTTACGCTCTTCTAACGTTACATCAACGAAACATATGTTATTAACTTTGATGCAACGAGTACGGTCGGTTTAAAGTGAAACCAATCGATGATCGATATCGTTCTGTTATTCGTAACAGTAACACAAAATGATAAGAGCTTATCGATATTTAAAACCAGTATTTACGAAAAAAGACGAACTAATTCGGCGAGCATTAAATCATACAGATATGTATAAAAACAGGACTCTTTTAAGGCTCCTATTTTCAATTATTCGATAGTTCAATTTATCTAAAACAACTTATATGAACGTCGAGTACGATTTATAAGAAATAAAATTCATTTGCTTAATGAAAATTCAAATGTAAATTCCGTATCGTATTACAGCAGAGTTATTTTCGAAAATAAAATTTTAATCTATCAAGGACTTAATCTACCTTAATACCCTCCAAGACCCCAAAAATTATGCCTTCCACATAATATCTTGTAAGGCGTAAATTAAAAATTTCGTCATGCTCGAAACTTTGGACCGTAAGCTTATTGAAAAGTAGCTTATCTATTTAAATTCGCATTGAGAAACATATTTGTATTCCTCACAAAATATACGATTAAAAAAGAAAAGAAGATTAAATTTCATAAGAAATAAACTGATAAAGCAGTATAATATAAATTTACGCTAATTAGTATCTATTAGTAATTACATCATAAATTGCATACCAGATATTCGCATGAGTCAGCAGCTGATCCAGAATCGGCCGATTCATCGGGGGACAGGAAAAAAACGCGCGGCCAGGTTGGCGTCAGCCACGATTAATCAGCTGTGTCATCGAGGCAATAAAACGGGGCCCGAAATTGGTCCAGGAAGCGGGCAAAATCCGAAGATCGAGCGTCGGAATATGCAAATGGAGCGGTCTAAGAAAGGAGGCTAGCGTGGCGAGGGTAGATCAGGTCGGTGTCTTCGAGG